ACACATTTCTAGTTCGGTTACTCGTGTGAAGTGAAGACTACAAGCAGCAACGAGTAAATCAACCGGATTGCTTCTAAGCAACAACAACTCTCCGGACATAGACGACCACTTGCTCCCCTCTCCTCCTCCTCCTGCCTCTCGTCCTCTCTCTAGCTCTTTGTAGCACTCGCTACTCCCAATCAATCAAGAAAGAAAGAAGGATCACCTCTCTCCTTGGCTCTCCCTCGCAGTGCATCACAATCTTCCATTCTTTGTGGCATGCTCTCTTCCTCCAATCATTAACGAACCGTCAACCATCCCCTCTCTGCTTCTCTCTCCCTTCCTCCCAAGTCCATCGTCTCTCTCTCTCTCTCTCTCTCTCTCTCTCTCTCTCTCTCTCTCTCTCTCTCTCCCTCTCTCTCTCTCTCTCTCTTCCTCTCCGCCAATCAAGACGCATGAGAGAGGGAGCATGCACACAGAAATGGAAAGCACTCACTCATCCCTTCCCTCATTGTCGCCGAACCTTTATCGACTCATTGAAAACAGAAGTCCTTGAAAAGCCTTCGTTCCCAAGAACTTGCACTTTTATCAATGAGACCTGGACAGATGACAAAGTCATGGTTGAATCCCAACCATGTGACAAAAAAAAAGCAACAAAGTGAGTCAAAGCTGCAAAAAAGTGTCGAAGTCGATCCTCTCTCAGAAAGACCACAACTTTATTGGCACCTGCCGCAGAGTACACCAAGACAGACACAACCGAAGCCAATAACTATTCATCAACAGAATGAATTATGTAATATAACCCTTGACAAGAGCGCACCCCGTTGAGCCAAGTCGTTGGCAAGGGGGGGAAAGGTGAGAGAGACCGGCGCTCAGACAACAGGCGGTTTACAAAAAGCAACGCAGAAAATGAAAGGCCAAAACGACAAACCAGAAAAAGAAAACGAAATTGAACAAAAAAAGCTGGCCGGAAGTAAATAAAATAAAACCAAAAAACAACGGAGCCTGTGGCAATAAGATATATATATATATATCGTCAAATAGAACTGCCCGGTAAACCGTAGGCAGAGAGGGAGAAGAGGACAACAAATGAGGGGCTGTGACAAACTGTTTCGTCGGAGTTTCACCGACTCATCAGGAGGCTGAACCCTCAACAGTCTGCAGAATCCCCTCAYTGATTACACTGTAAATGATAATCTACCTTAACCAAAATCAAAGTAGACTATCACTCACCCACACCAGATGGAAAACTCTATATATATATAAATCTAATAAATGAAAAGCCCCCATGGAACGAAAAACAAACAAACGCGGGATGGGGGCATGGGGGGACTACTACAGACAGGGAGGCAAGGGACAGCTTGTGGCTATTATGAGATCCTTCCCTTCTGTCTTTCTCCTCCCACTCCTGCAAACACCTGCATTAGGCATTTCACAGCCTCAATGAGCTGACCAGTCAATAACCCCTGAAATCAACATAACTGATTAACTAATTCACGGACGAATAAGATACCATCCATCCATCCATCTATCCATCAATCAATTGAAATCAATCAATCAATCAATCAATCAATCAATCAATCAATCAATCAATTGCAATCAATTGCAATCAATCAATCAATCAATTGCAATCAATCAATCAATCAATACTAATTCACGGACGAATAAGATACCATCCATCCATCCATCTATCCATCAATCAATCAATCAATCAATCAATCAATCAATTGCAATCAATTGCAATCAATCAATCAATCAATTGCAATCAATCAATCAATCAATCAATCAATCAAAACAACGAACCCACCAACCAACCAGAATTTGCTGTCTTTCCACCGCCTCTTTCTCTTCATCGTGCGACCTCATCCTCTTCTTCCTCCCTTTCTTGCTCAGCAACCCTCGAGCTGTTATTGCTTGAGAGCAGCCCAGTAGCTGGTACCCCGCCGTTAGGACCCAGTCCTCCCAGCGGTGTCTGATCCTTCTTCAAGCGGAACCTGGCCTCTTTGATAACCTTTGCCTCCTCTCGAAGAATCTTGAGAGCATTTCTCCACTGCTGGTCCTTAGCCAAACTTCCCTTCCACATGACCTCTCCCGTGTGAGGCCACAGCCATCGAGCGGTGGGTTTCTCGTCATCGTAGAACTCGGCACGATCAGCGTCCATCTGCTTGATGAGATCTTTGTCGAAGAACCGAAGCCACATCTGTCCAGACCGAGTCGAGAGCGGGTGTTGCTCAACCATGCTGCCAGATTCCGGCTGAAGATAGACGAGACCTCTACCACTATGAAAGGCCCAGACGTTCACAAGAACTTCCAGAAGCCGAGAATAACAAGCATCGCTCTCCTGCAGAAGCGACGTTGCAAAAGGGCAACGTCCATCTGCCACGTGGCGATCATAGAAATCCATGTCCAAAGCATCAACGAACATGCGGGCAAACATCACGAACTCCAAAAAAGAGTCAGTCCGCATCACCCAGGCATTCATAGCCGCCCAAGAGGACTGCTGCTGCTGCTGCTGCTCCTGCTGATGTTGCTGCTGCTGCTGCTGCTGCTGCTGCTGCTGCTGCTGATGATGATGATGATGATGATGATGATGATGATGCTGATGATGATCTGGCTCAATTGTAGGAATAACATCACTCTGCATCGGCGGCAGATTGTCCCACGTCGCAGGAAGACCGTACATCCTTCTGAGTGCATTCGTGAAGGCAGAACGACATTCACCATTGTTGACTTCGTCGCACGTATCCCAAAACGCATCTCCCGCCTCTCCCTCCTTGCTAAATAGTCCGGTCCGATCTTCCGATGATGCCCTTTTTTGCCGCCGATGATGACGATCGGCCTCCGGATGACCTAACCGAACCCAGAAAAACACGCAATCCCCGAACGTACCCTCCACCGCTGCGTTTTCAAGCGCCTTTTCTGCCGCTTCTGAGAGAGAGAGCTTCGCCTTCATTGCCGGTACTCTCCACGGTTGGAAGCCAATCCACGCATTGCGATGATGATCGTCGATGTGCCACGCCGCCGTCAAGATCGCGGCGAAGTCTCCAATCGCCCGCTGCTTGTAGTAGTCGTCAGCCAGCACAGGCAATCTCGACTGCACGTCTAGATCTTGTTCCTGATGTCGCGCGGCGTTCGCGGTCAGACTGAAGCCTCTATAAAGAGCTTGGTCCTTGTGAAGGAAAGGCCAAGCGCCTCTGCCATCAAACACCTCGTAGATCACAAGCGGCAGACCGGCTCTCTCCAAATCCACCTCAGTGTTATCTTCGCGAACTACTCCTCTCTCTGCCTTGCGGATTTTTCTAGTGACGTCATCCCAAGATTCCCAAGTGCGGACCGTTCGATCTTTCAGCAAGGCTTTCTCCTTTTCCTCCGGCTCGCGCTCCGCCAGATCCAGCCAATCGCTCTCCATCTCCGCTGCGCGGACCTTTTCCTCCGCCCGCAGAGTCTGCAACTGCTCCTCTGCAGACCCCCCTTCTCCTAACAAGCCAGTGGAGAATTCGTCGCCCACCTCTCCCAGCCGTAACAAGGCATCCCCAGCCGCTCGTCTCTCCTTCATCGCCGCTCTCTCCTGCTCAAATTGCGCCGCCAACTCCCGCCTCTCAATCTTCTTGTCGTGGCTGGCTCTCCTCGCATCGTGTTCCGCATGCCACTCCAGCTCCATAGCCTCGACTCCATCCTCCCCTTCAGAGTCATCATCCCCCTTCCTCGCCTCCTCATCATCAACGGCCACCCATCCTTCTCCACGATAGACGATGGCACCTCGATCGTCTCCCTCCTCTGCTTCCACCACGGCAGCAGCCATCCTCGTTGCCTCCTCTCCCATCACGACCTCCTTCATAAGCGCCAGAAATTTCGACAAAACATTGCCAACGCCAACTCTACGAGCGCGCCCAAGTGATTCTCTCCTCGAAATCACACCCCCACCCCCACCCCCACCCTGGAAGGAGTCGTCGTCTCCATCCGATCTCGCTAACAAATTGGGCGAAACGAACGGTGATGATCGCACTCTCCGCGAGCTGATCCCCAAAGCCAACTGCAGAAGTTTTGCCGCCATCCCATCAACATCATCGGCTGGCGTTAACGTCACATTGGCCATCCCCTCCATCTCAAGAGCGATGCCTGACGCATCCGTAGCAATGATTGGTTTGCCAAAAGCCAGCGCATGCACGAGAACGGACGTGTCACCATGCGACGACCGCTGGGAGCGACCACCACTTCCACCGCCACCGCCACCTCCACCTCCTCCTCCTCCTCCTCCTCCTCCTCCTCCTCCCGCATAGATGACCAGATCCGAGGCAAGAAGAATGCGGTCCTGGTCCTCCTCGTCGGGTCTGGCAATCTCCACAGTGTGGTTGCTTGCCCGACCAAACCTGTGCTGAACGCCGGCCTTCCTCCCCTCGTCCTCCCGATCACGATCGCCGCCCACGTGGCCACGACTTGAACCGCCCCCCTCTGGACCGATAACGTACACGCGAAATCGCATATTGGTTTGGGAATCGCCGCCCGACGATCCCGCTTCTACCCTCTTTTCCGTTCCGACAGCGTCTCCATCGCCTTTACTGTCACCGAAAAGCCGCGGCACCCCCCTCCGAGCACCCCGTTTGTGGGCAATTTGCTCCGCCGCCATCGCTGATGTGAACTTCACATCCGCCAGTCGAAGAGCGGCCATAGCCAAGTTACGCTCGAGCAGCCTTTCTTCTTCTTCTTCTCCTTCTTCTTCTTCTTCTTCCTCTTTGTTATCCTCTGCCGTTCCCGTTCTGTCAATCACCACAGCGACTACCACCTCTTGCGGACTGATGATACCCAGAGAAGCTCTATCGTTCTGCCACGTGTGCGATCGCAGATAGGCCTCGGCTTTGCACACGTGGCTCGGTGTCCCTTCGATCAGATCGGCATTCGCTAGCCCTAGGTCCCTGTAAGCATTCTTCAGCTCTCTACTTGGGAAAACGACACGACTCGCTCTCCGCATCAAGAGTGTCCATTTGCTAGTGATCTCTCCCATTGACGACAACAAGTAGTGGGAGAGCCTGCGGCTGAGCGTCGACTCGTGAACGACCCACACAAGAGGAACAGCTCTGAACGGATCACCCGCTAGCACCTCCACAGCCTTCCACGTGTGCAACGTGTTTGCCAGGACGACATCGAATTGCGTCCAATCAATCGGCCCGGAGTCGGCAGCAGTGTTGTTGTCCGCAAGGTAAGGTGCATGCACCTTAGCACCCATCCTCTCCCACGTGGATCGGCAAACCCCATCTCGTATGGACAACACGTGTACTTCGTAATTGCACAAAGAGAGTGCGCGGCCGATCGTAAGCAAGTAAATAGATTTAGGACACGTGGCCTTCAGATTGGGAGACACGATAGCCACACGAAACCCCCCCCCCATATCCCCCATCTTATTACCAACACCCATCGACAATACAATACCCTTTCTCCTCCCTTCCTTCCCATCGCGCTGCTGAAGATTAACACCGTACACATGATTGATCTCGACCTTCTTCTTCTTATTCTTCTCCTCCTCCTCCTTGTGAAGATCATCAAAACCAATATCGTGATTCAAACTGTCATAAAAAAAGTTGACATTGCCTTCGTGCTTACCTAGCCCACGACCGGGATCGATCACAGGACTATCATCCGGGGAAGGAGGGCCTACCATCCAAAACAGCGCCACGGTAAACATGAGTGCAATCAAAGGCATCCATGACCAACGAAGACTACTTCCTCCCATGTGTCGGTGCGAAACTCCCCCTCCTCCTCCTCCTCCTCCTCCTCCCCCTCCGTGATCGCGCCAATGGCCATGTCGACGATGATGTGATTCATCCGATGACCACACCTGATGGAACGACGCCGAGCCATCTGGCACAGACCGGTGACGTGGCGACCCCTCCGGCACCGATCGAGCCAGGAATGTCGCCGCAGTCGCTGGTACCCCATCTTGGACCGGCGATCGCTCTGGGACGGCACCTCCGCTACCCAAGCTAAACCCACCACCACCGCTCCCTGACTGTTCCGTAGCGCCCGATCTTGCAGGTACCCGTTTCAAAGGCTGCGTGGACAACCTCGATGCTGCTTGAAAATCCATTTCTTCCCTTCTTCATTTATGTAATATATTGTCACATTGTATATATACTAGTCACTCCTTTGCTTTCTCGCTTGTCCATCCAGCAGAGCTCTCTCGTTCACAGCAGCAGCATTCTGGAAACGCCACGAGTACAAATGATGATTGGGGGGGGGGGG